GCATAGAATATCAGCCCGTACTGTAGTATTTTAATCAATTCGTCAGTCACGCGTCACAGGACCCTCTGGCTGCCGAAATTTTTCGGCAGTCACGGTGAATCTCCCCATCTGCCGAAAGTTTTGGGACGGTCACCAAAATTTTTGAGGAAAAATGTGATTATTTTGAGAGGATCTGACGAAAATTTTCGGCAGTCACACCTCTGATTCGCAGCTGCCGAAAGGAGATTTTCGGCAGGTATGTCACGGGCAAATCCGGCTGCCGAATTGATTAAAATACTACAGTACATATAGTGCGGTGTTACACCCGGTCACAGGGCTTGATCGATCGGTCTGAAATGATCGAAGTTTTTGCACCATATTGCGTAGGAGTCTGTCTAAACTGTTGGGACAAAATTTTGGGACATTCTAGCCGCCACCCTGAGGGGGATCCGAAGACGCCGCTGGGACTCCGACGGGGTGAAACAGTTTCAACCTGGTACCCCAGTAGGCCCGCTGAGGGGGCCGAGATTGACTACCGAAGTTTTATGGCGTAGTGGTTTAGCATGCATTTATATTTTCATTTTGTCTGCGGGCACTCCCTTTTGTCACTTTTTTATCAATGATCGCGTCACACCCGCAATGTCCTCGCGTCCAGTTCAAGCCCTCTGCGCCTTGCGCCTTGCCTACCCGGATGACGCACAAGCCATGGAATACAAAACAACCGCTTACCAAAAAAGTGGCCGTCCCATGCTGAATAAAAATATTTCTCATTTTACTCCTGCAAAAAAAATCATTGCTCATTCTATTCCTACATGATTCCGGGTGAGGAGTCGTGTCCATGTCGAGTATGCAGCATGGAAGGGAGTGTCATACGCGCAACGGTAATAAAAGCTCTGTCTTGGATGTCGGTGCGCGTTGCCGCCAATCCCGCAAGATTCCTTTAATAGAAGGGAAAAGGTTGAACGAGACACGTGATGTTCAACATCGGTTGAACGAGCCACGTGATGTTCAACATCGGATGGCGAGCTCTTTCATTGAAATTTACTCGCCTGAGGAACTTACACGGAAAGTCGGAAGTAACGAACTTTCCTAAATGTGATCAAAGTGGCGATGTTTGAAGTAAGCGAAAATAAGCGAAATAACGAAGGGCACTACCCCGAGCCGAGCCTCCTCCCCATGATCGTGACCTCATGAAAGGCCAGCTATCTGCGTGGATTAGTCTTTGCGGCGGGCATCCAGTATGTATTGCTCTCTTTTTGGCACACTGGATGGTGCTGATCATGGTAATCACGCAGACCTCAGAGCATACAGCAGCGCATACAGATGCTGCACTCATCCACATTAAGCCGTTTCACATTGGGCCCGTTCTTATAACTGCCATCGGACAACCTTCACCGCACCTATTTTCGGAAAACTCCGACCAAACTTGCAGCACGATTCCTTATGCTAGATGAATGGAGAGACCGAACCGAGACAGCCGAAAAAACCGGCCCCGAGAACTTGGCGCAAACACGCACATCACGGAATAGGCACAGGAACATTATTGCATCCCACTTTGTCAATCAAACAGTGGGACTCGATTTCGAGTTGTACTGTGGTACCGACGGCCTTGATGGGAACTTTCGGCCCGGCCAGTCGGCCGACAACACTCAGTCTGGCACAGCGGATCCTTCAATGCTCGATTAGGGAAGCCCCACTTTGAAGAACAGTTTTCCCGAAATTTTCCGCCTTCCGCGGGCATTAAAACATACAGATTACGCTCAATTCCTTTAGTCACTGACCGAGCACGAGTCTTGCTTTGATGGGCAACCCTGCCGAGCTAATTATATATTTGCCGACGGGTCTGGGTTTGGCTCGGTCAGTCGTTAGAACTACATACCTGGGTTTCAAAATTTTACTAAGTAGGTTGCGGCCGCTTCACGGCCATTTTTTTTAAAAAAACTTACCCGAATCACTATCCAGGTGATAACGATTTGGGCTCAGCCACTTGGGACCACTGTCCGGTATATTTATAACCTGTTATTTTTTATGATGGTCAACTGAACTGGTGATCTTCATGAGTTTTCGAACCATCTGAGGCTCATGAAAGATGGTGGGGGAGGATTATGTCAATAAGCATTGATCCCCGTGATCCCCCTGAAACTATCTCGGGGCGGCGCGTGTCGACGCGCCTGTACTACTCCAACCGTCTGTCCGCCGATTGGTGATCTCCGAGTAACTCCGAGGCCATGTGATTGTTAGTCTCGGCTACCCAGACTCTCGTACCAGTGATGAACAAGTACTGGTAGAGATGACTTAGAGATGGTGCATCAAATCACGGACCACCGTGACGGTGCGAGTTGCACATCATATTTAGGCGCCAGCCAATGACAATCCATATCTCCATTCCCTGAAAACCGCGGCCGACAACAAAAGCTCTCAAACTCGTTCCCTGTATGCAAGACAAGCCTCAAATTGGAAGATATGGGTCATGGCCGAGCACTGTGACACCAGAAGTAATATCGGACCAAGTGGGTGGTCGAACATCTCGCTGAACCTGGTTCTCTTATCACCGGCGCAAAGGTTGTCGCATACGAATCTGTCGCCGTAGACCCGATTAATGGCACCATTTATCATGTGGAACGACGTCCGGCAGAAGGCCGCAGTGTCCTAGTCGACAGCCGTCGACGGGCAGACTTGATCCAACCCGCATTCAACTGCAGGTAGACAGTCTGCACGCCCTTGATTTGTCTCACAAATAGACAGGTCAGTGGTACATGGATACGGTGGCGCACCGGTGACAATCCGAGACCACGCTGTGTTCTTCACCAATGTTCCCGACTTTCGTATCTACAAGATTGAGGGGAGCGACGTAACCCCGGTAACTTCAGGTATGTCAAGACGAGTACATTTTCGTTCGCGATAACATTTAGCCTACAGACAGCCCACAATTCAGATTCGCCAATTTGACTTTGCATCCATCCCATCCGCACCTAATGATTGCCATCCGCGAAGACCACGCCAATTCTAGATCTGCGGATGTAACAGACACTGTTGTTTCCATCAACCTCAAGACCGGGACACCGACGGTCATCTCCGAGGGTTGGGATTTTTATGCCAACCCAGTGTTCAATCCCAGCGGCACGAAACTCGCTTGGTTGCGATGGAATCATCCTGACATGCCTTTTCGGTCTACTCAACTTGTTGTTGGCGACGTAAATCTGGACGACGGGCATATCTCCATCTCGAACGAAACTGCGATTGCCGGGGAACCCTGTGTTTCAGTGGCGCAGCAGGCACTTTGGGCAGACGACAACACTATAGTTTTCTTGCACGATATTTCCGGATGGATGCAGCCTTGGATCCATATCTTGGGAGGCGATACTCGTCCGATATTAGATGAACCAATCCTGGGGGAGTTTGCAGAACCGATGTGGGGACTCGGGATGTCCTCGTATGCCATCCTGGATGCCGACCATCTCCTATGCACTGTCGTGAGGAAAGGCTTTACATCCTTAGTTGTCATCTCCATCTCTGGCGGAACGTTCGAAGAACTGCCCTCGGATTTTGTGGACATCAAGTATCTGAAACGCATCCGTCCCAACCAGGTCGTTTTTGTCGGATGTAAATTTGATGCCGGGGAGGCTATTGTAATGCTGACGCATGACCGCGGGCATTCGGTGTTCGAGTTGTTGGCCTCCTCGTCAAAAACTCCGGTCCCAGACGGATTTGCCGCGCGCCCCGAGCCACTGGTGCTCGCTGATTCCATGGGCCGCGATCTCCATGCACTGTTTTTCCCTCCGACTAATCCCGGGTTTTGTGGTCCTCCAGACGAGAAGCCGCCCTGTGTGGTGTTCTTTCACTCCGGTCCAACGTCCAGAGCGACGCCCCAATTGTCATGGGAGCGGATCCTTTACACATCCCGCGGATGGGCCTGGTGGGTACTCTATATTATTACTCCTCTTCTGCCGTCCGGTCTTTGAATTTAATTCAGGTTGGACGTCATGTACAGCGGGTCCTCTGGCTACGGTCGCCGATATATGTGCGTGCACAATCCGCAAACCACTCCATACTGACAATTACGCTCCCAGGGAACGGCTTGATGGAAGGGGAGCAGAGCTGGATGCTCAAGACTGCGTCCAGGCAACCCGCCAGATTGCCGCCAAAGGCCTAATCGATGTCCACCGCGTTGTGATTACGGGTTCCGGTTTGTTCCTCTTGTGGTGTTTTCTTCTCGGAAACTCACACTATCCCAGGCGGCCCTTCCGTGCTTATGTCACTCGTCAACTTTCCCCATTTCTACGCCGCTGCAACGTCACAATTCACCGTCTGTGATATGGCAGAACTACATCGCAAGGCTCCGAAGCTGCAGCTTTTTTACGTAGCCCTTCTCCTCGGCGGCACCCCAGATGAAATACCAGAGGTCTACAGAGCGCGGTCGCCGCTATTTCATGCGGACAAAATCAGGACCCCTGTGCTGGTGAGATGCACATCTCTTTAAATCGATGTGTGATTGATGTGCGTAGTTGGCCCACGGGGCTCAAGACCTCGTCATCCCCGTTGAGCAAACGGATTCCATCGTGGACGAAATCAAGAAGCACGGCGGCCAGGTTGAATATCTCCGCTTCGAGGACGAAGGGCACGGTTTCAGGCGCGCCGCGAGCATCAAGCTTGTGCAAGAGCGCAGGCTGGCGTTTTTTGAGAAGGTCTTGATGTTCAACAATACTGTGGACGTGGACTGAGTCGTATGTGTGGCAAAGAATGTACGAGGACGAGACTTTTATAAATACCAGTAACTAGACGAGCTGAATGTCTACCAGCTGCAGCAATTGCTCGGCTAAACACGTACTAGTTGTCCATTATGCTTGTAGGCATTGAATGCCGAACACGTCACGACCTGGTCGGAGACATAATAAGTAGGTTGAATATTTTAGAATAAACTTGAGCGTGGCGATCGAATGGCTACAGAATAGTAATGCAAAGGGAGAGATTCCATGTATAGGATAGGACGGGCCTGAAGACAACAAGAAACAAAATAAAGATGGACACTTCCGGATTTGAACCAGACAGCTCTCGCATACAAGGTTATCCGGATAACTCATACGATCATGCTCTGCGAGTGTGTTGCCAACTACACCATATGCCCAACACCACATCCTGTGCATACTGAGAGTTGGAGTCCGCCGATATCACAACAATCTTGTCCCCCTGGCAGATTCATTAGCGAGGATCCGCAGATGAATCAAGTTGGACAAGGTCGAACACTTACAATCTCCAACTTGTAGTTCTCACTTGACAGTGGAAGTTGTTCAAGGGAAAGAGGAGAATTTCGTGCCAAAGGACGAAAATGAAGTGTCCGCGGTGTCCCTTAGATTATTAGTAAAGCACCGTCTCGTACTAATAGGTCTTACTAGCACCTTCTCATTTATGTGCATGTACATTTGCATGACGGTGAAGAACTTGGATTCAAAGGTTCTGGACAAGGTTTATGTGACCAACCAACCGGCAGCCTGCAGGTTCAAGTTGTGGCAACTTCCGCAGTACCGTCCGACAATGGACGCCAAGCAAGTTACGGCTTGGTCTGAGTTCTCGATCGGGCGTCCTTCTCTGGCAACGGCTCAACAACATACGCGGAAGTAAGTCGCGCACAGGCTGAGTGCGATAATTTATATGAAACAGTGCAATCCCTAAGCAAAATATAGACCAGAAAGCAAAGAAGCCAGTGAGACGAACACCAAAGCAATGACGCAAGCAGGAAAGCCAAAGAAACTGCGCCGCAGGAAACCATTTATGTCTCAGGGACGGCTTAATTGCTATTTGTGTTAGAACATGCCATCCATTCGAGCGACAGAACGAGCACATTTCACTTGATAACTCCATGTTTGGTTTAGTAATGTAGCTAGCCATTTAAGTAGTTTACTACGTACAAGTACCTGATTAGTAATATGCGAAATACTTGCCAGCGGGTTTCGCCCCCGTGCTTTCGAAATTCCAGCAGTTTGGGCTAAGGCGACAGGAGCGCTCCCGCAGCGCAACATTGGACCCGGGAAAAAAAAAACCAAGTAAATCAATTTTAAAAACGAAATTTTCCAGAGCACTATTTAAAGAGTCGATATACTGTCCGAGCTGACCGGAGGCCAGACTTGCTTCGTTGGGAGCAGATGGTTGTGATGAAATCACTGTATCTCCTCCTCCTCCCTCCGTTTGACATTCTTCATGATAGTGCTAACACATTGTCCGCCCGTCGTTTAAATGAACTTCATAAGATCACGAGGGACGATGAGAAACTGAAAAGAAAAATGATATACACGAGCAGCTAAGAATACACCAGGGGTCGTGGATGAGGCGTAGATGAGGCGAATTACTATGACGCCGGAGTGCCCGAACTCGATGCAGATCCCCGTCGCTTGCGCAATTTAGAGATTTTGTTCTTGATGAGGCTGTCAACGCGCGCGCGGCGCAGCGTGCCGTATGTACCGGGCTCCCGCTCGCAGTCGGAGGCCTCCGCGCCGCACTCATCGAACTCGACGTGCTGGTTATTTATCTCGTCAGTCCGGAGCATGAACGGCTCGAAGGGGATGCGCGTGCCGAGTCGCGGAAGTCGGGGTGCGGATTCCGGAAACGGCATGTAACACTGCGGACAGCGGTAGGTCTTTTGGTGTCGGTTGAGCATGCGCTGCAGAACGTTTAGTAGGGCCCCGCAGGTGAACACGGCAGAGAGGGTACATTGACGATGCGCACATCGAGGCGGTGGTCCAGCGGTTCAGTTCGAAATGTGTTATCGAACAATGTTCCTGCAGGTCCTCCCAGTGGTAGTACGGAAGCTGGCACTCGGTGCATTCCAGGAGCATGATGGCCGCTGTCAAGGGTTGAGGGCTGAAGATTGATTGAGAGGGTGGGATGAGATGGGGTCTAGTGAAGAACCCGAACGGGCAAAAAATAATTCATGCTTTTATCTTGCTAGTACAGTATACACGCTGCCGGCACCTGAGGTACCGAGTCGCCGACGCAGAAAGAACTTGAACGAGACCCAAGCGGGACCTACTTAGTGGGTAGCTGGCAGACTTCATATCTGTTTATTAGAAGAAAAGCGGAATTCCCTGCATTTACCGCTTAGCGACCGCACTTGGTAGAAGTGACACCCGTCAGATGATGACATATCCCGTCCTACCCGTCTTCATCATTGACATGACCCTTCAAAAGTGTCAACGTTTTTTACTTCACTCAGGGAGACTGAAATTTTGACAAGCGCATAATATTTCATACATCAAATGAGGTGGCTGTACAACTAGGGATCCCTACCGGTGTACGCTTACGGGTGCCGGCTGGTCCTTCTGTTACGGGTAAATCTGAAGCAAATTTTGCTAAACAATATCGACTGGCACATATGCTCCGGCTCATTGATTTTATTTAGTATGAATGGGCGTATACGGCATGTATACATAATTTTGAATTAGCGCTGCCGCGCTCTCTTTACGCTACGGCCGTAACGGCATACGATTTTAAATCCAGTGTCAAAGTTTACATTGAGGAACCATGCATGGGATTCTGGAACTAAACAGCAACCCCCGCACGGGGGATCAGCTTTCGGTTGTTATCACCGGCAACCAGCGCTTGGCGAAGATGCTGGTCAGGCATCAATGATCATGTTGTTGTGCTTGGCTGACTTGTGTAGTTGCCGGTTTGAACTAGCGGAGAGACCTTGCGGTAGGCTACCGAAATGACCGATTTTTGCACAGAGCGCTCTATAGTAGGCTGTGTTTTATTTTGCCGCGCTCTCCTTGTTCCGGTTTATACTGGACAATTAGATCCATGGATATTGAGATCATGGATCTAAATGTCCACCCGCCAGAAGTTATCCAAAAGCGGTCCAGAAACGGAAAGAGTTGCCATAAAAGTCCATTTTGCCCAAGTGCACGGTGTTCCGAGTCGGCGATTACGGGATGAATCAACTAGCACAGCCGCTTTGCCAAGGCTGTGTGGGCGCCCCTGGGTGCGTTTCGGAAGCAGCCCAATAACTACGGCACGACGACGCCCCCGCATCCCTCTCTCCCTCCATGTCCTCTGCCCGCCATGCACCGTCCCACAGCCGTGAGCTCTCCAGCAGCCTCGCCGTTCCGCTGGTAACGTGCCTGCTACAGGCCTCCCGAAACACGCTGACCAATCTTTTTTTCTTCCAAGATGTCCGCAGACCACTCGTGCGTATTCAAGGTCCCTTGCGCCGCAGTTCTGACGGGCGTTCGTCTGCAGGCCCTCGTCCTCGAGCTCCGAGGGCGCGTCCCCGCGCCCGACGCACTCCCGTAACCTATCCCAGACCGGGAGCTGGATAGAGCCCGCGGACTTCGATCCCTACGTCAGCCTCGACGCACCCCCCCGTCCGTTCAGCAGCCACACGCGGCCCTTGTCCGTCGCCTCGTCCGCCGCCGAGTCGCCGTTCGCGGACCCCCGCGCGTCCACCGTCTCGCTCTCGGTCAACTACGTCCCGTCCAAGTTCTCCGATGCCCTCGTCCAGGGCAGCGCCAGGCGCCGCCGGCACAAGGCCCCGGTCATGGCGCGCGGCGGCGGCGTCGACGCGTTCAAGCCCGGCGAGGCCCGCGTCGCGGACGACAGGGACGACCTCAATCCCTACACGGCCCGCACCGACTTTCTCGACCGCTCCGACCCCAAGTCGCGGTGGACGCGCTTCAAATGGGTCCTCTTCCTGTTTAACATTGTCGTGCGTGCCGCCTGCTGCACGCCGCTGTCACCCAGCTGACATATGCCTGTCTGTCAGTACACGATGATCGCCATCGTGGCCCTGGTCGCCACCATGCTCGTCTGGTTCGACTTTGTCGACAAGGCCGACGTCCTGCGCACCGCCAACCGCCCCGAGCTCATCTTCTCCACCCTCGCCGCCGCCTTCGCGCTCTTCACCAGCGTCTTCGGCTGGGCGGGCATCATGATGAACAACCGCTCCTTCCTCGCCTTCTACGCCTTCTTCCTCTGGATCTCCTTCGCGCTGCTCGTCGTGCCGGGGTACATCACCTACCGCCGCACGACGCTCAACCTCGAGAGCAAGCTCAGCTTCCAGTGGTCCCGCCAGCTCGACACCAACGCGCGCCGCCGCGTCCAGAACGTGCTGCACTGCTGCGGCTTCGCCAGCCCCTTCGTCGAAGCGAGCGTCAGCTCCACGTGCTACTCGCGCTCCAGCCTCCCCGGGTGCAAGGCCCCGTTCCTCGACTTCGAGCGCACCGCGCTCGAGCGCTGGTACATCGCCGTCTTCTCCGCCGCCGGCTTCTTCGTGGCCACGATCGTCGCCGCGCTGCTCTGCGCCAACCACGTCACGTACCGCTTCGGCAAGGGCATGATGCCGCGCGCGTACCGCCTCGACGCCGCGAGCGTCGCGCTCATCGCGGAGAGCTACGTCGCGCAGGTCGGCGCGCAGTACGGCCCCGAGGCCGCGGGGCTCGTGCTCGCGCACGCCTCGACCGCGAGCCTCCTCGGCGACGTGGGCGCCACGCCGCGCGCGTCCTTCGCGCACTCGCGCGCGTCGTCCGCGCTCAGCATCGGCGGCATGTCCATGGGCGCCATGCCGTTCCACGACCGCGCGCGCGCGCGCTCGCCCGCGGGCGGCGCGGCCTCCACGCAGTACGGCACCATCGGCGGGACGGTCCCCGACACCGTCATGTGAGCTCCGCCGCCGCTGGACCGCACACTGGGACCCACAGCGCAAGCTGGGGCATAGAGATGACCCTCATCAGGTGCTTCATGTGGCACTTATTTCTGACGAACGGACACACACATCTACAGTAGACATCTGCGCATATTTACTTATTAGCTACCGCTGCATTGTACTTATTATCTGTGGTCACTGGCGATTTTTGGGGCGCGTCCGTTTTTGGTGTAGGCCCGCCGCTGTGATTACATAATAACGCATGTGACCGGACTGCCGGTCCGAGCTCCATATGGCTTAGACGATATCGCACTACAGTGCTAAACCGGACGAAGGAGCGTGATTTTGTTTAACACAATTCTGGCACAATTTCGAGCTCGAGACAAAGTTCTGACATCTTGCGTTGACGACTATCGGGACAAAAAACACTGATAATGTTTATCACGTGATCGCGTATCAGCTCGTTCTCTCCCTCAGCTTCGGGTCAATCCCAGAGCTTAGAGTGCTTCGGTCATCTACCGGCAGATGCAGGAAATTCAACTTTTCTTCTAACCACCGAATATATATGAAGTCTGCCACAGTACCACCCACTACTTCAAGTTAGGTCCCACGTGGGTCTCGTTCAAGTTCTTTCAGCGTCGGTACCTCAGGCGTCAGCAGCGTGATAAAAGCCTGAATTCTTTTTACCCGCTCGGGCTCCCCGGGGATGTATGACTCGTATTGGGCTCCACCGGAGAGTGTCTCCCGACGCCCCTATTCATGTCTGAAATGGTGCCGCGGGTATAAGATCCCTCTAGCCCCGTCAACAAACAATCACCAGCTTTCGCTCGACACCCATCTCATCCCACCCTCGAAATCTATCTTCGCCCCTCACCCCCGACATCACCCACCATGCTCCTGGAATGCACCGAGTGTCAGCTTCCGTACTACCACTGGGAGGACCTGCAGGAGCACTACGCGATAACCCATCCTGAACTGGACCATCTGGACCACCGCCTCGATGTGCGCATCGCCAAGGTACGCACGCCCTATGCCGTGTCCATTTGTCGGCCTGTGCTAAACGTTCTGCAGCGCATTCTCAACCGACACCAAAAGACCTACCGCTGTCCGCAGTGTTACATGCCGTTCCCGCACCCCGACCTCCGCGACTCGGTACGCGCATCCCCTTCGAGCCGTTCGTGCTCCAGACTGACGAGATAACCAACTTAGCACGTCGAGTTCGACGAGTGCGACGCGGAGGACTCGGACTGCGAGCGGGAGCCCGGTACGTACGGCACGCTGCGCCGCGGGCGAGTTGACAGCCTCATGAACAAAATCTCGAAATTGCGGAAGCGACGGGGATCTGCGTCGAGTTCGAGTTCAGACGCTTCAGCGCCATAATAATTCGCCGAGTCTGTGATCCCTGGTGTATCCCTAGTTGCCCGTGTATTTATATATATATATACTTATTCTCATCGTTCGTGATCTTGAGGATTTTACTTAAACGACGGGCGGACAACTGGCTAGCACTATCATGATGCATGAACAATGTCCAATGCAGGGAGGAGGAGGAGGAGGAAATACAGTGATTTTATTATAAGTCAGGTCTCCGGTCAGGTCGTAACTTGCTCGGCGTCCATTGTCGGACGGTACTGCGGATGCCCGGTGACTGCCGAAGTTGCCACAACTCGAACAAGATCCTTTAAACTCTCGACAGGCATGCCAATGTAATGAAAAGGTACTGGTAAGAGTGCTTTACTAATACACTGTCAAGTGGGAACCACAAGTTGGAGATTGCAAGTGTATCTTCGACCTTGTCCGACTTGATTTATCTGCGGATCCTCGCCAAGACATAATTGTTGTGATATCGGCGATATCGGCGGACTCGCTGGCAGAACCTTGCATACTCAGTCCAAGACTTTTAACAACCAACTCTGAGTATGTACGGGATGTGGCGTTGGGCATGTGGTGTAGTTGGCAACACACTCGCAGAGCATGGCTTCTTGAAATTTGGCCTGATCTGGTATGCGAGAGCTGTTTGGTTCAAATCCAGAAGTGTCCATCTTTATTTTGTTTCTCTTTATCCTGTGTTGTCTTTAGCATACGGTTTCTTTAGGCCCTATATATGGAATCTCCTTCTTTGCGTTATTCTGTAGCCATTCAATCGCCACGCTATTCCAAAATATTATGCTTCATATCGTCTATCTGATCAATGGCGGATCCCGTCAATGTCCCAGACTTTTCAATAGTCAATTTCACGGCCCGCGCAGAATGGGTGTCGGACATATGGTGTAGTTGGTTAACACACTCGCTGAGTATTGACTCTTCACTCCCAAAATGGCATGCGAGAGATGTCCGGTTCGAATCCGGAAATGTCCATAACGATATACTTGCTCAGCTCTTTTTTTTCTTTTTATCCGGTGTTGTCTTTTGTATACGGTTTCTTCAAGTCTCTCTCTCTGCATTATTCTCAATCACCTGTGCTCAATTTCAATCCAAAACATTAATACATCGTTTAATCCGAGGATTTATTATCCGCAGAACTGAGCGTATCAAAGAGCTAATACATTCACAAATTCGTAATGCACTGGCATTGTTATATTTTAAGTCCATCTTTGTCTTTGTTGGCACCACAAATGCCCTGCCATAATTGGCATTTGTTGGACACGCAAACTCTTTGAAAGACTCAAATAAATTGATGCTAGTACATAATTTATATTTTGGGCTTAGTTTTACCTACAAAATTTCGTATTATATACTTTGAAAAAATAAATTCTCGGTAAATTCCTGAAATGGCGGAGTAATGGTGAAAAGGACGTGCGCAGCAAGCGCCACAAATCAATGGTGTCAGCCTTTCTGGGGGGGCAGAACACCGGGGCTAATACTGTCAAGATGGGCCATATTATCGAGCTCATATACAATCATCGCCAAAGCCAACCACCGACACACACCCGAGCGTGAACTTGCCTTTTCACCCAAGGTGGCGCATTCACCCAAGGTGGAAAAACTGCAGAGAAAACAATTCAGCAGGGTAGTTAAGTCTGAAAACACGTTATTCGCCCCCAAAAAACGCGTCTTTCCAACGATTACGCGCGGCTTAATTGCCTCGAGCAATTCCGCGAGGCTAGCACGTGAGTTCCTAAAAATGGATGATTATATAATAAGGTGACCCACCGGCAATCAGGGCGCGGTAACCAACAGACTATCTAGAACGTGCTGCACTGCTGCGGCTTCGCCAGCCCATTCGTCGAGGCGAGCGTCAGCAGGACCCCTGATAATAGGTGAGGAACCCATATACTGACCGGAGAAAAACCACCCTCGACCGGCCGACAACCCATGTTAAGTGGTCCGGAGAAAAGTGCCCGCCGGCAGCGGAGCCAAATACCACTGCCGGAGAAAATCCGCGTGGACCGAAATCTTGCCTAAAACGGCGAGATTTGGAGCACATCTGAGCTGTCGTGCCTGGCATAAATTAGCGCGTATATCGATCCGGAATGGTGCGGGAGGCGAAAAATCGATTTTCCAGCGCGTTTTACGCGAAAAATGAACCCATTTACGCGTTCCGGAGAAAAATGGGCTACCCGCCGAACCCATATGCGAAAACTCGACCTTAGACCGTCCGGAGAAAATTGGCCAAACCGGTATATGGGTTGCCCACCTATTATCAGGGGTCCTGCGTCAGCTCGACGTGCTACGCGCGCTCGAGCCTCCCTGGGTGCAAAGTGCCGTTCCTCGCGTTCGAGCGCGCGGCGCTCATGCGCGCCAGTGGTACATCGCCGTCTTCTCCGCCGCCGGCTTCTTCGTCGGCACGATCGTCGCGGCGCTGCGCCAACCACGTCACGTACCGCTTCGGCAAGGGCATGATGCCCCGCGCGCACCGCCTCGACGCCGCGAGCGTCGCGCTCATCGCGGAGAGCTACGTCGCGCAGGTCGGCGCGCAGTACGGCCCCGCGGCCGCGGAGCTCGTGCTCGCGCACGCCTCGACCGCGAGCCTCCTCGGCGACGTGGGCCCCACGCCGCGCGCCTCCTTCGCGCACTCGCGCGCGCCGTCCGCCCTCAGCATCGACGGCATGTCGATGGCGCCATGCCGTTCCACGACCGCGCGCGCCGCGCGCGCTCGCCCGCGAGCGGCGCGGGCTCCGCGCAGTATGGCACCATCGGCGGGACGGTCCCCGACACCGTCATGTGATGGCCACCGCCGCACCGCCGCTGCACACTGGCACTGGCGTCTGGGACCCACAGCGCAAGCTGGGGCATTGAGATGATGACCCTCATCAGGTGCTTCATGTGGCACTTATTTCTGACAAACGGACACACACATCTACAGTAGACATCTGCGCATATTTACTTATTAGCTACTGCTGCATTGTACTTATTATCTGTGGTCACTGGCGATTTATCGGATTAGGGGTATGGATAATGTATCATGTGACCAGACTGCCGGTCCGAGGTCCATATTACATGATTGACGAACGAAGACGAACGAGCGATATGGACGAACGAGCGTGATTTTGGTCAGCACAATCCTGGCACAATTTCGAGACAAGTTTCTGACATTTTGCGCTGACGACTATCGGGACATAGATCACTTGTAACGTTTATCACGTGATCGCGTTTTCGAACTGCGTTCAACCAAAAGCATCTCTCCCTCGATCCCAGCTCTGCTTGGACATCCACTGCAGATGCTGGTAACTTCGCTTTTCTTCTAATTTAAAGTAATAACCGCATAGTATGAAGTCTGCCACGCGCACAGTACCACCACTTCTTAGGTCCCACTTGGGTCTCGTTCATGTTCTTTCTGCGTCGGTACCCCAGGCGTCAACAGCGTGTACTGGCGTGATAAAAGCCTGAATTCTTTTTGCCCGTTCGGGCTCCCCGGGGATGCATGACTTGCATCAGGCTCCACCGGAGAATGTCTCGCCGACCCCTATTCATGTCTGAAATGGTGCCGCGGGTATAAGGGTTTTCCTACCATTGTACTGGGTCGCCGAAAGGGGAAAAATGGGTTTACCGATCGATCAGCTGGGTCCACTTGACACGTTATGTCTCACAGCCACTGATGGCAAGTAACAAGCAGCGATAGTTCAACATCGTCTGCTGCTGAGTCAAATCTCTAAATATTTGTACATGTATAGAACATCCTTACAGATATCTCTGTGCCAAAAATTCCGCACGAATACATCAGATTGACCATCGACATTAAATGTTAAGTGTGACCGTAACGTCACACTTAACATAGGGGCATCACACTTAACAGTTCTTTTCTGCCGTTTGCTCAGTATGGGCGTCACTCATCTTCCCTGCTCTCAGAAATTCTGTGAACGACTGCTGCAGTATATTATGTCCTAACACAACACTCAAAACACTAAAATTCAGGCTTTCCATGCTTAAACAAAGTCATCTGTTCAATCTCCGTTTTGTTCAAATTCCGTCAATTAAATTTTATTCACCCCTTCAAGCAGTTAAGAAATAAAGCCTTGTAAACCAGTCAAGTGTCCCAACAGGTCAAAGAATCCAAAGCAACCGTAGCTCCCCCAGAATGTGGGTGTTTATGTTCTGGTGTCAAACAAGATCTCAGTGCTCAATACACTTCGTAGATTGGAGCTCAGAAGAACCTGTGTGCAAACTAGAGGTTTGGTCCATTGATTCCGCAACCCCACAGATAATATGCTCTAACATGTATCGGGTTGGAAAAATTCCCACCATTTATTACAGAAATGGATGTATTTTTCCAATGGGCATCGAATGGCATTGACAGTTATGTTGATGGAGAATGACTAAGTGAACAGAACCTTGGTTGAGCTCTGTTGAGCTCTGTGAGATTTCTCTGTGGTTCAATGAACTTTCTATGAACTTTCCTTTTTCTATTTCTTTTTCGCATTTTTCCCCTTTCGGCGACCCAGTACAATGGTAGGAAAACCGGTATAAGATCCCTATAGCCCCGTCAACAAACAATCACCGGCTTTCACTCGACACCCCATCTCATCCCACCCTCGAAATCACTCTTCGCACCTCACCCCCCGACATCGCCCATCATGCTCCTGGAATGCACCGAGTGTGAGCTTCCGTTCTACCACTGGGAGGACCTGCAGGAGCACTACGCGATAACCCATCCCGAACTGGACCATCTGGACCACCGCCTCGATGTGCGCATCGCCAAGGTACGCTCTCTGCCGTGTCATCTGTCGGCCCCTGTTAAACGTGCTGCAGCGCATTCTCAACCTACACCAAAAGACGTACCGCTGTCCGCGGTGTTACATGCCGTTTCCGCACCCCGACCTCCGCGACTCGGTATGCGTATCTCTTTCGAGACGTTCGTGCTCCGGACTGACGAAATAAATAACTTAGCACGTCGAGTTCGACGAATGCGATGTGGAGGACTCGGACTGCGAGCGGGAGCCCGGAACATACGGCACGCTGCGCCGCGGGCGAGTCGACAGCCTCATGAACAAAATCTCGAAATTGCGGAAGCGACGGGGATCTGCGTCGAGTTCAAACACTCCAGCGCCATAATGATTCGCCTCATCTGCGATCTGTATCTTTAGTTGCCCGTGTATTAATATATCGTTTCTCATCGTCCCTCGTGATCTGTAATTGCCAGGCTGAGGAGTTTATACAAACGACGGGCGGACATGGCTAGCACTCATCAACAACGTCAAATTGAGGGAGGAGGAGCAGGAAATACAGTGATTTTATTACAACGCAAGTCAGGCCTAGGCCTCCGGTCAGGTCGAACAGGCCATATCGACTGTTCACTTTTGCTCTGCGAAATTTCGCTCTGTTTCGCTTTTAAATTACTCTACTTTGGTGGTTTTTTTTCCGGGTCCAATTTTCCGCTGCGGGATCGCTAGCTGTCACCTTAGACCAAACAGCAATTTAGGTCGTCTCTGAAACACACAAGGTTTTCACTCTGCGGTGCTTTCTTTGGCTTTCCTGCTTGTGCCATTGTTTTGGTGGTCGTCTCCCTGGCTTCTTTGCTTTCTGGTCGATATTCTGCTTAGTTTCACATAAATTATCGCCTTCAGCGCGACTTAATCCGACGTTTGTTGTTGAGCTGTTGGGCCAGAGGAGAAAGGACGCCCGAGAACCCCGAAAAGGTCGTAACTTGCTCGGCACATTATCGGACGGTGCTGCGGATGCCGAAGTTGCCACAACTCGAACAAGATCTTTCAAAATCAAGTTCTCGACAGGCATGCCAATGTATATGCACATAAATGAGAAGGTAAGTTACTTACTAGTAAGACCTACAAGACAGTGCTTTACTAATCCACTGTCAAGTGGGAACTACAAGTTGGAGATTGCAAGTGTATCTTCGACCTTGTCCAACTGGTTTATCTGCGCCAAGACAAGATTGTTGTGATTTCGGCGATATCGGCAGACTCGCTCGGCAGACTCGCTGGCAGAACTTGCATCGTTGCTACTCAGTCCAAGACTTTTAAGAACCAACTCTGAGTATATACGAGATGTGATGTTGGGCATATGGTGTAGTTGGCAACACACTCGCAGATCATAAGTTTGTGAGCATCGTCTTGTATGCGAGAGCTGTCTGGTTCAAATCCGGAAGTGTCCATCCTTATTTTGTTTCTTTTTACCCTGTGTTGTCTTTGCGTACGGTTTCTTCAGGCCCATCCTGTTCTATACATGGAATCTCCTTCTTTGCATTATTCTGTACCCATTAATTCGCCACGCTCAAGTTTATTCCAAATTATCAATTTGCTTCATATCGTCTGATCCTCTGATCAATGGCGGATCCCGTCTAGCCGAGTCCTATGCGCTGGAATCCCAGACTTTCAATAACCATATTGCACGGCCCGCGCAGAATGGGTGTCGGACATATGGTGTAGTTGGTTAACACACTCGCTGAGCGTATCCGAGTCACAAAAAATTCCTAAAGTGGTATGCGAGAGATGTCCGGTTCGAATCCGGAAATGTCCATAATGTCCATAACGAGCTCTTTTTTCCCCTGTTATCCGGTGTTGTCTTTTGTATACGGTTTCTTCAAATCCGTCATATACATGGAATCTCTCTCTCTGCATTATTCTGTAGCCATTCAATCACTTGTGCTCAATTTCAATCCAAAACATTAATACATCGTTTGATCCGAGATTTATTATCCGCAGAACTGAGCGTACCATAGAGCTAATACGTTCACAAACATTGTCCGTCTTTGTGGGCGTATCAGACGCCTACTTATTCCTGCAATATCCTCAGGCTCACACGCGCGTCGAAGTTCGATCCACCAATTCGTGATATAAGAACCAAACAGCAACTTAGGTCGTTTCTGAAATATACAAGGTTTTCACTCTGGGGCGCTGTTTCTTTGGCTTCCCTGCTTGCGCCATTGCTTTGGTGTTCGTCTCACTGGCTTCCTTGCTTTCTGCTCGATATTTTGCTTAGAGGTTGCACTGTTTCACATAAATTATCGCACTCAGCGCGACTTCCTCCAACGTTTGTTCTTGAGCTGTTGGGCCACAGGAGAAAGGACAACAGGTCGTAACTTGCTCGGCGTCCATTGTCGGACGGTACTGCAGATGCCGAAGTTGCCACAACTTGAACCAGATCCTTTAAACTCAAATTGTCGATAGGCATGCCAAATTCCCAATGTATACGCACATAAATGAGAAGGTACTAGTAAGACCTACGAGACAGCGCTTTACTAATCCACTGTCAAATGGGAACTACAAGCTGGAGATTGCAAGGGAGATTGCGAGTATCTTCGACCTTGTCCAGCTTGATTTATCTGCGGATCCTCGCCAAGACAAGATTGTTGTGATTTCGGCGACATCGGCGGACTCGGCACTGTCATAATTCTCTTGTAGCACCGATTGACCCGCAATCTCCCGATGGAGTCACATGATGCTGCTTATATACGTAGGCTCAATTGTCTGTTGGGAGCGCGAGCAGGAACTGGCGAAGAACGGAGAATTTATATCTTCGTCATGCAACGTCTCTTCCGATGGAGTCCGAGTCCGCCGCCTTCTCATATAGACTCGCCCATCAAGGAGGATCCGTAAACAAAACTCCCAAAATGCCAGTGGAAGTGTCTCACATCCTCATTTGGGAGTGTCGCGCTTCGCCTCGCGTGCGAGAGACATCAGCTCAATTGCGAGACTGTGTCGCATCAGTAGCTAGGTGTGTCGCACTTGAGGAGTATTGTGTAACACCATTTTATATCCTCGTTGCGGTGCTCCCAGTGGCAGCTTCCATTGGCTCTGGCATGCTCTTCTTCTTACTTGCGCTGTCAGACGCCCGAAAGCAAGTTGAGATCTACTTCATTTTGACACTCGACAGATTGCGGTTACTTGTGATCCAAGAACTTGATGAATGTTCGGAGACTTGGGAACGAGGGTCTTGAAGACACTGTTTGAAGCCGTCTTCAAGTTGCTATGTCAACAGTCAATATGGGTACAAAGTATACAAGGTGCAATCACAATCAGGAGGGTTTTTCTGTTCCCGCACTTTATTTATCGCCCCGAATTAGGCTAGCTTGATATCTAGACCTGAAGGATGCAACGCTTGTCAAAGTGGTCTATTCGCGGTGGTCCTAGTAACCCCTGGCAGACCTTTCATTCTCTAGAAAGGATAATATGGAAGACCTTCTATTCGGATCATCATCTCTCTGGGAATAGGCGAAAGTTCCGCAGCGTATAAAGTCAGTCACCCGTCGAACACCCACACTGGCACAGGGACGCCTAGTTCTCGCTCCTCCATCTTTCTTCGGCCCGCTCATTTTTCCGTTCCGTGTTCCTCCAGAGACGCCAGCTCGTCACTTTTGTTTCACATTGTGCTCTTCCTCTGGAAATGGTGGTGTTCAATCCCCTTCTCGCTTCCGGTGCGTCGCTCAGACAGCAGTTAGAGTGATTCAGACTGGGAAATTTGGATTCTCGACATCTGCCAGCTAGGGGTCCGTGCCTCATTCCATGTCTATGTTTATCGCTTATTTGTCGCCCGCTCCCAGGTCGGGACCTTTTTTTATGGTACCAGCCATGTCGCCAGTCGAAACATTATCCCATTAACCATGTCTCTTTCCAGGCATATACTTGACTCTCTTCTGCTTCTGCATCCACTTCCTCCTGCACCGCCCGCACAACCTGGGCAACACCGTCCTGCTGGTGACCGCAATTGTTCTTTTCATGCTTGCGACGGTGCAAACTGTAACCAATCTCGTCCTTCGCGCGTCGGATATCGGCTACATCTACCTCCCTTATTATGACCAACTTGTTTTGGCTAATATAGAGATATATACCTTCAATAAGTATGTTCTGAATTTCCACTGTGCTCTGCGTTCATACGACATTTGTTTAGTGTCGTAGCCGACGGATTGCTCGCAAGTCTATCGACAAGACAAAGTGATCCTCAGAAATTGCTAATCCTTACCAGATATACCGCTGTTATTCAATCTGGAACAAGAATATTTATGTGGTGCTCGTCCCAATTATCATGCTCGCTATTACTAGCAGTGAGTGCTACTGACAATTACCAAGCCAACCATCTTCTCATCGGGGTTTTTTTTGAAGTACTCGGATGGGATATCCTTCTCCCGTTCGCCCCGTTCTTTGTGCTTGCACTTGCTACGAATGTTGTTGTTACGGTGCTGACAGGTGCTGTATCCACTGCGGCTCTTTGGGCCTACTTACTGGCGCTTATCATAAACTCACCCCATCACAGCCGGGCGAATCTGGTGGATCTCCCGCAAGGCGCGGAATTATTTGCAGACAGGCCTCCAGCGGCGATACTTATTCGCAATATCCATTCTGTGGGTTACATAAATATCCCATCCCGATTTTGACATTTTATGAAATTTTGTCCAACGACATGCAGAGTGGAATCCGGCGTAGCGTACTCCGCGGCCGTGCTGGCCTACCTCATCTTCGGTGCGTTCGAGAGCACGAGCATCCTGACATACCCGATCTGGGAGGCGCTTGCACAGCTTGTGGTGCGTTCCATGATTTACATAAAGTACATACTCACCCGGTGACATGGACGATATCGGGCCATCCAGGGGATAGTGCCGACCCTGATTATCGTTCGCGTTGGAATGGGTGTGGGCGTGCAGAGTCTCGAAACGACCGTCAAGGCTGCCAGTGCGGTGACTGCGAGTGAAACCGTGACGAACACTGTCAGAGTCCGCGCGCCGATTTGCGAAGCCGTTCCCTACTATCGCGATGAAGAGCTCCCGCCTGACCTTGAGAAGGGGACAATCGGCGAGCCTTTTTGACAGTTTGACAGAGTGGACTACTACATAGCGCTGGACAATGAACTTTCGGAAGGACTTGTATTTGCATGTACCATGTAGGCATGGCAAAGGGCTTCAAATATATGTGGCCTACTCAAGCCAGACGTTGCAATCGACGATGCACAGCCAAACTCAACACTTGCAGCTCGAAAAGGCAATTTATGGGCGGCCTCCTAGCAGAAACAGGACCGTCTATGTTGTGCTCGTCCCCATATGGTACTTACTAGCAGTGCGTGCTGCTCACAATCACCGGTGCTCAGTGGGTCAGGCTTGTCGAAGTACATGTATTCGGGTAGGAACTACCGTGACGCTCCCGCTCCCTTCGCTTTCGCATGCTACCAAAGTCATTTCCTACTATATTAACAGGTGCCACGTCGATTCGTCCACTATATTTCTTCTAGCGCTTATCGTAAAGGCACCTGCATGCAGCCAGAGGAACCTGGTGGATCTGCCCCAAGGCGCCGCGGCGGAAATATCTCCAGACAGGCGGCGACACGTATCCGGCATGTTTTGTCTGTGCCTTATCTTCACTGTACCCCGCGACCTTACTGTCCTTCCTCATCGTCGGTGCGATCTTGTCTCGAGCACAAGCATCATGCACTGGCACCGCAAACCTGCCATGTATTCCGGTTTTTTTTTCGAACTTCCGAAGATCTTTAAATTCTCACAAAGTACAGAAAATACAAAACTGTGCATAGATACAAAAGCAGACAATCCAAAAGAATCCATCAGACAAACGCTCGACTCGCTGGCAAGCTTCCCAGCGGCTCTTGCAAGTACGCAGGGAAGAATGCCAAACGTCCTCGAGACCAGCTCGCGCTAGCCATGTTCTCAGTAAAACGAGTGAGCGCGGGGTGTCATCGAGTGGATTTGAAGGATGTGGCATTTGTAAAAATGCGACACTCGGTCAGTTTCTATAAAAAGATCTTAAAGATTGTGGAGGCGGCAACATCGACTGTATTAGCTGCGTGCAGAAGCTACAGATCAGTGTATAGTACCCCACTGTAGCTACATTGACTATGAGAGCTACATTTCTGTGCATGAAGATGATATTGAACAACAGATTTTTGGACGATGCACAATGTGCTATTGGCACTACATTTCTTGGCAGGCAGCTACAGCCAGGAGGGGTTTTCCTGATGCGAGCTCTTTTTGATTGAGTTATATCTATTTGTATGCGCATAAACTTGAGGTCTTGGTCTCGACTCTGTTGACGTAGTCGACGCTCCCTAGTCCAAGACTTTCTCTGAGTATGTACGAAAGGCGATGTTGGGCATATGGCGTAGTTCACTCGCAGAGCATGGGGTGTTGGATTGATCTCGTATGCGAGATCTGTCTGGTTCAAATCCGGAAGTGCCCATCCTTGTTTTGTTCCTTTTTACTATTCTGTAGCCATTCAATCGCCACGCTCAAGTTTATTCTAAAATATTAACCTGATCCGCTGATCAATGGCGGATCCCGTCAATGTCCAGCCCCTGTGTTATTGCGCTGGAATCCCAGACTTTCGATGACTAATTTCACGGCCCGCGCAGACTGTCGGACATATGGTGTAGTTGGTTAACACACTCGCTAAGCATGTTTGCATTCCAAAATGGCATGCGAGAGATATCCGGTTCGAATCCGGAAATGTCCATATGTGGCCCTCTCTTTTTTTTTTCTTTTTACCCGGTGTTGCCTTTTGTATATTAATATTGTTATTTTCTGCCTGTACATATGTGATAGAGTGCGCATCGCATTGAAAGTGTGTCTCAGACTTCCGGTGTACCGCCCACTGGGGTTCTTTCTGCGTCGGTACCTCAGCGTGGCGTGATAAAAGCGTGAACGTTCGGGCTCCCCGTGGATGTATGACTTAGGCTTCACCGAAGAGTGGCTCGCCGACTCCGAGTCCTCTATTAATGTCTGGAATGGTCGCGCACGTATACGTATAAGATATCAACAAACAGTCTCCAGCTTTCACTCAACATCCCATCTCATCCCACCCTCAAATCATTCTTCGGCCCTCACCCCCCGAGATCGCCCATCATGCTCCTGGAATGCACCAAGTATCAGCTTCCGTACTACCACTGGGAGGAGACTGGTTAAATGGTTAATGCAACTAAAATGCAACCCCGGCCGCACCAGGTACTTTAAACATTCGCGCTGCTTGCTGTCGGCATAGCCCGCTGGCCAGCTGTTAAGGATAATCTCCAATTAAATGTGGTACTGAGAGCCTGTTCCATGCCTAGCGGGAAACTCGGATAATGCTTGGGTAATGCCCGTCCACGAGACCTAGGATTGAGAGCAGTCCATTACGTGAGCGTTGTCACGGGTTGCATTTTAGTTGGATGTACTTAGCATTAACCATTTAACCAGACTGCATTATGTGATAACCCACCCCAAACTGAACCACCTGGACCACCGCCTCGATGTGCGCATCACCAAGGTACGCCCTCTGCCGTGTCATCTGTCGGCCTCCATCAAACGTACGTGCTGCAGCGCATTCTCAACCGATACCAAAAGACCTACCGCTGTCCGCAGTGTTACATGCCGTTTCCGCACCCCGACCTCCGCGACTCGGTATGCGTTTCTCCTTCGAGCCGTTTGTGCTCCAGACTGACGAGATAAGTAATTAGCACGTCGAGTTCGACGAGTGCGATGTGGAGAACTCGGACTGCGAGCGGGAGCCCGGTACATACGGCACGCTACGCCACGGGCGAGTTGACAGCCTCAAGAACAAATTTTCAAAATTGCGAAAGCGACGCGGATCTGCGTCGAGTTCAAACACTTCAGCGCCATAGTGATTTGCCCCATCTGCGATCCTTGATGTATCCTTAGTTGGTCGTGTATAATACATACATGATATTGTTTCTCATCGTCCCTCCCGATCTTGAGGATTTTATTTGAGCGACGGGCGGTCAACTGGTTAGTACTATCATGAACAATGTCAAATGGAGTATAACCGCAGCGGTCCCATAGAGGAACAATGAGAGCGTGACAGATCAAACCTAACTCCTGTATATATTTACGACTTGGAGCCGGTGGAAGAGAAACTGTAAGTCGTGCCGTGTGAGGAACGGCCAGCGTGTAAAATCTATGCGCTTTTTATCAGAACTTAGAACGAATTTGAGTTGACTGTAGAAGTCGATGATTATTATTCAGGTAATTACTACCGCTTTTATACTACGAAGGTGAGTCATAATTATTCTACTACGAGTCAGAACTAACTAAATACGAGTCATATATCTACTGCGAGTGAAGCGCGGTTGCGCTTCGGTTCCGAGGATAGTAATCCCATATTCGGCTTGTTTAGGTAAGCCAAATTCTAACACTCCCCCTCAAGCCGAATTTAATCCAAGTCCGCCAATGAGTGGTTTAAACTTGAACGAAGGAAGTGCCTTGGTAAACACATCAGCCTTCATCTCGGCTGTGGGACAATAAATCACGTCCAGAGTTCCGTCTTCAATTTTGGATCGAATGAAATGGTACCGTATATCAATATGCTTGGTACGTGCGTGATATTGTCCGAGTTCGGCGTGTGCAAGAGCTATCGCTGATTGATTATCGTTGTACATAACCGAGGGGAAATTTAAGGGCCCGAATAACTCGGCCATAAATGCACGAAACCAGATAGCCTCTTTGGCTGTATATGTGAGTGCAATGTATTCTGCTTCAGTTGTCGAAAGCGAAATAATTTCTTGTTGCTTCGACGTCCAAGAAACCGCAGCTCCATTCAAGATGAACGCGTAGCCAGACACCGCCTTGCGATTGTCAAGGGACATGCCATCAGCGTCAGCAAAAATGTCCAATCCGCGGGTCGTGTCTGCGGCACTGTAAGTCAAAGCCAGAGTCCGTGTGCCTTTTAAATATTGAAGCACTCGTTTGGCAGCATTCCAATGCACTATTCCTGGGTTGTCAATGAAGCGGGACAAGACACAGACTGCAAATGCAAGGTCTGGTCGTGTTGCGGTTGATAGCCATACTAGCCCGCCAATCAATTCGCGGTATGGGATATTTTTCATCTCTTCTATGTCCTCGTGTGTCCGTGGACATTGCTCACGCGTTAACTGAGCATTGGGATCAAGAGGTACAGAAACTGGTTTACAACTTCCCATGTTAAACTTGCGTAACAAGGAATCAATATATGTTGTCTGGGACAACTTGAGCGTATGAGCGCTTCGATTCCGTTTGACTTCCATCCCAAGTAGCCAAGATATTGGTCCGAGCAATGTAATCTTAAAGATGCGTCCTATATCTTCTTGGACTTCATCAATCAAGTCAGAGCTATTGCCGGTAATTGTGCTGTCGTCTATGTGGATCGCAATAAATACAAATTTATCACCTCGAACCATCTTGTAGACAGCATGGTCCGAATGGAGTGCATGGATCCCTAGCGCAGCGAGTTCGGTGGTAACCTTGTCGTACCATTTCCGTGCGGACTGCTTTAGTCCATAAATTGTCTTCTGAAGTCTAATTACTTCTTGTGTGTTCCCATTAGTGTAATGTGGAGCTTGCTCCATGAAGATCTCTTCATCTGCTGAGAATTCGCCGTTCAAGAACGCGGCAGAATAATCAAACACTTTGATGTCCCAGTTAAAACAAGCAGCCAATGAGAGCAGGGATCGCAGAGACGAAAGTTTGGCAGTAGGTGAGAAAGTTTCGTAATAATCCACGCCTTGTACTTGCGTGAATCCTTTGGCGACAAGTCTAGCTTTATACTTGTCAATTTCGCCGTTTGCTTTTCGTTTGATCCGAAGAGCCCATTTGCTGCCGACGACATTCCGGCCCGGAGGCCTGGGAACCAATTTTGTACCAAATGTACCCGTTCTTGTCATCGCTTCCATCTCGAAGTCCATGGCCTGTTTAAACAGCGGCCAATCTGGACGTTTCATGGCCTCTTCAACTGTTGGGGAATCTGACAGTTCACCTAGTCCAACAAAAGCAAACTCTGTACTGCCTAGGGGACTTCGAGTCTCTCTTTCGGCAACTTGCGCACTGTGGGCAGAACGGCGCGTTCGCCCACCTTCAAGGATATTCTTCGTGTCAATTTTACTCGAAATATCTCGCGGAGCCATGGCTTTTGCCCCGGGAGTTTCCGGTGTCGGAGCTCTCTTGGGAGTATCGGGAGGAGTGGTGAGTGGAGATTCGGGCAGCGGAATTGTGACTGGATCTGGAACTTCAGGTGCATGCTGAATGTTCTCAGACAAATTTTCAGTGCTATTTTCCGTTTTCTCCCCCTCATTCAGCACTTTATAAAGCTCTCCCGTGCGTTTCCCATCCGGAAATTTAACGCTTCGTTCGACTTTAATTGACTTATTGTCCGGATAGTAGATTCTTTGTCCGTCAATTGTCTCACTGTCAAATCCGAGCCAGCGTCCTTCTCGGGCACGTTTCCCGAGTTTGCCGTCATCCTGATGGACCCAGACCTTGCAGCCCCACTCGCGTATGTGGCGCAAGTCCGGTTTCTCCTTATGGAAGACTTCGTATGGCGTCTTTCCACCTAGGGCCTTGGTCGAGGTGCGATTTTTCAACCAAACTGCGTGCTTTAAAGCTTCTCCCCATAGGTTTGATGGCAAGCCGGCACCATGGAGCATCGCGCGCACCTTCTCGAGAAGCGTGCGATTTAATCTTTCAGCGACACCGTTGTGTTCCGGCGTGTCATGGACAGTTAGACGGCGTCCAATTCCGTTCTTGGCGAGGTATTCATCAAATTCATGACTTTTGTACTCGCCACCATTATCTGAATGCAAAATCTTTACTTTGATTCCATGTTCTCGCTCCCAACGGGCTTCAACTGCTTTGAATGCGTCAAATGTTTCGCTTTTGGCTACCAACAACACAACTGCAGTGTAACGTGAAGCTTCGTCCGTAAATGAGACATAGTACTTTTTGTGCTGCGGAGTTTCCACTGTGGCGGGTCCCCACAAGTCACTGTGAATTTCGTCGCCAACATCTCCTTTAGCCTCGCGCTCTGCGGACTTCGAAATCGGCTTTCGAGTCATTCTACCATGTAGACATGATACGCACTCTTCCTCTGAGGTGCGTGCCGTTTCATCCAATTCTATGCCTGCGATGCGCTGATCTTGGACCAGTTTCTGTGCGGCTTCTTTCGGTAAGTGCCCAAGCATTCTATGTAACTCATCAATTGTTACTTTCAGTGGTCCGTCATCAGCCGTATAGGCTTGTGCTAGTCTCGGCATCTCGACGCAATATACACCGTGTGCAAATGGAACTGTTCCGATGCACCGGTCTCTTGCGTCGAAGATCTTACATCCCTTGCTTCGAAAATGCAAGGAATAACCGGCCTGGGTAATCCGTCCAACTGAAAGTAATGTGACTCCCATGGTCGGTGCGTACAAGACGTCTTTTACTAAGACTCGGGTGTGACTCCTTCCATTAGGTACTTCAACGTACATGTCACCCTTCCCGATCGCGTGGAATTTCTTGTTGTCTGCAGCAACAATTCCTCGGGTTTGTATGGTCTGAAAATTTAACAGTCGTTCTCGCGATGGAGTAAAGTGCTGTGTGGCACCGGAATCATAAATTTCAAGGCCATATTCTGGATCTGTGGTAGCTACTGCAGCAAATATTTCGTCTGAGGTGAGCGAAGTTTTCTCTATTACTTCATACTCCCTCATCATCTCCTCATCAGAATCG